GTTTATTTTAAGGTATTTTATTCATATCAAAAAAAGTTTTAACTTAAAAATGAATTAATTTTCTAATATATTTATCAATATTTTTAAAGATAATGTTTTCATCCAGTCTGTTGGCGTTACAAACTCTTCCATTTCAGTTGAAGCTCTCACTGGAAAGAGAAAACTCCGCCCCGTCATTTAAATATAAGAACAAGAAATAAAAGACAGAAATAAAAAGAGCCTGAAAATAGAAACAGTTAAAAAAAATAAATACCTGAAAATGATTGAAACTATGAAAGTGTCACAAAATAAAACACCATTATGAATGTTTATGTAGTATTTTCTAGTATTTCATGAGTACAAGTTATTTTTAATGTAATCATTTCTATTTTTTTATGTATTTAATAATGAATGTAATGGCTCTCCATACAGGGCAGCTGAGTTGCTACTGGTCGTCTCATGTTGTCAGTAAAAGTAGAGAAACAGAAAAAGCTTTAACTTTACAGCAGCGAGCGACGTCCCAGTCGGACCTGTTTGGTGGAAGAAGAGTTTCCAGAGAACCGTTTTCTGAGACGCTCAGCTGAGATACAGAGGCCGTTTCTCAATATGTGTACTTGTGAGTTCTCGTGTACTCGTGAAACGTTATCAGCCTCAGGCCTAGTACTGTTCCAATTCACAAGAACAAGAAGACAGAGAACGGACAAAGTCCCCGGATGTTGTTCTCTCCTCTCCCTATTTACCCAGCATGCATCAGAGCAGCAGCTTCCAATGGAGCGCTCACAGAGCTCAGAGTATTAAGTTAGAAGTTCTCTTTTCTGTTGCCATTGTTCAGTAAAAGTATGTTTTAAGATCATTTAAGGTGAGAAAATTATATGTTTAAGAGGCACTATATGGTTCATTTAGTGATTTAGTGTGTCATTTAAAAAAAAAGTTCCAGTGTTGAGAGGAATGTGGCAACCAGCGGAGCTCCGAGGCTAACGGCAGCCAGTATGAAGGTTATTTTGTTTCAACACTTTGTGTTTTGTAAGTGTGAATTTGTAGAGAGAGTTAAAGTCTAAGTTTTGTATTTGTAGAATAAAAAAAAAATAATCATCATTCGTCAATCATGCATAAACGAGGCGTATTTTCATAGTTTCTCTCCAAACTGTTTCAAAATCGACCCTAACAGATTTTCGCATTTCTGAATTCTCCTGAATGGTGCCTGACTATATACGAGTGAATAAAGTGAATGAATATGTATATTATTTCAACCGTTGCGTATATTAGCTGTGACATATGAATCAAGATGCTATGGCTGAAAAAAATTTGATTGACAGATGACCGTTGATCTATGATTGGCCGAATTTAGGCGTTCAGGCTGACGTATAACTAACTGGCCTCCTGCCCAATTTAACTTTTGGGACAATATCGTCTGATAAAGAGAACATTCATATACATGTTTAAGCCAAAGGGTTTGACATTTAAATATGACTTCCTTACGACTTTAAATGCAACTTTTTTTTTTTTGCTGAACATTTTTAAAGAAAAACAGAAACACTTTAGAACAAATATAAGGGAAAAAATTCAATAGTTTACAAAAATCAGTTACACCTTAAGGTATAAAAAAAAACTTAAAATATATTATTCTTATTTCTCTAAATTAAAAATAAAGAAAAAATCCACATGAATGAGACTTGAGTTGTTTCCTGACAACGAAACAAGTTTCTATCTTAATGTTGTGGCTTGATTTGGCTCAAAGAATATGATTGAGTCAAATAAGTGTTTAATAAAAAAAAACAAAAAACAGTAACGTAACAAAAATGAAATAATTTCACAGAGTGTTTTATAAAGGGTACAGGACTCAACTTCTTTCTCTGGGAAAACTAAACCTCCTCACAGCCCTTCCTGTCTATGGACTCACACTGCCCTCTACTGGTAGCTTTGTGCTACAGCATTACCTCTCATGTTCAGGATCTGCCTGTGGCGATCAGAGGATGGAGAGGGATTTTCTCATTAAGCTTCCAGAGTTTCTCCTAAAAGGCTGATGGG